GCCAACTGTGCAACCGGCTTGTGATTGGACGAATATGAGGCAGGCTATGATCCACCTCACAGGCTGGTGCGACGCCCATTTGGCAGTCGCATCGGCCTGGGAAAACCCCAAAAACTGGTCTCCTGCTAGATCATGGTGGGGTGCTCAAGACACCGCCATGCAAAAACGCTTGACCATTAAAGGAAAGCGTACTGGGGGAAACGGATTTGTTGTGCAAGACGTCCCCGAAAACTATAATTGTGGCACCAGAATTTACGGGTATGTGACTGAATCCAAAAACCAGCAATAGTCTGGAAGTGCCCACAGAAAGATGTACTTTCAAAAAGGGGGGACGTGGGGAATTAAACTGACAGCGTATGACTTTTTAAACCTTTGCACATAAATGTTATAACCAGCTTGTAAAATTTGCCATTATGGACGCCGTAGAGACACCATTACTATGGTGACCCCACATTTAAAGTATTATGGCAAATTTACTTATAAAAAAAGGAATGCAAAGAACGCAGAGATTTATCAGAAAGGCTTGAACTTACTAAAAGGTAAATGTCAATACCATGTTGAGAAACGGTAGTAAGTCAGGCTAATGCCATGTTATCTGGAAGTTCCACTGAATGTTGCTGGGCTTACTCTAAGTTCATTGCTCCATGGCCTTAGTTACCTTCTGCAGCAATCCAGCTGTCTTTTCCAACATGAAAAAGCTAATAGAAAACAGTTCCTTGAAACAAACGACTGAAGCCCAAGAGCTCTGCTTATTCAGTCCTTTTGACAAGCAGTGTCTCTTACACTTACTTGAAACAACACTGTAGTAACAGGACCTGACTCACAGAGTCAGAATTTTATTTAGTTCCAGGTATATTTTCATATATAACATCAGAGACACATGTGAGCCTCTCTCATGCTTTCTGTGTCGCTTATAAGTGCATAATAATACCTGGAAGACAAATAACTGTGTTCTGCAGCCAACAGCAGTTTTAATTATCAATTAGGAACCAAAAGGCTATTTATGCCTCAGTTTCTTATTTATGCATTGTGAACAGATGCTACTGTTGTTAGAAAGGTTGAAACAACTATGAACTATTCCATGAACAATTTTTTAGAAAGTTGTACGGCAAATAATAGTTTGAAGGTGACCTGGAAACTATAACTAATCCAGAATGCGGCAGCTAGACTGGTGACTGGGAGCGGCCGCCGAGACCACATAACACCAGTCTTGAAAGACCTACACTGGCTCCCAGTAGGTTTCCAAGCACAATTCAAAGTGTTGGTGCTGACCTTGAAAGTCCTAAACGGCCTCGGTCCAGTATACCTGAAGGAGCGTTTCCACCCCCATCGTTCAGCCTGGACACTGAGGTCCAGCGCCGAGGGCCTTCTTCCGGTTCCCTCATTGCGAGAAGCCAAGTTACAGGGAACCAGTCAAAGGGCCTTCTCGGTAGTGGTACCCACCCTGTGGAACGCCCTCCCACCAGATGTCAAAAAGAGCAACAACTGCCAGACTTTTAGAAGACATCTGAAGGCAGCCCTGTTTAGGGAAGCTTTTAATGTTTAACCGACTATTGTATTTTAATATTCTGTTGGAAGCCAGCCAGATGGGAGGGGTTGCAAATAATTTTATTTTATTTTTATTTTTATTATTATTAGAATCATAGAATCATAGAGTTGGAATAGACCACAAGGGCCATCGAGTCCAACCCCCTGCCAAGCAGGAAACACCACCAGAGCACTCCTGACATATGGTTGTCAAGCCTCTGCTTAAAGACCTCCAAAGAAGGAGACTCCACCACACTCCTTGGCAGCAAATTCCACTGTCGAACAGCTCTGTCAGGAAGTTGTTTTTTTATTATTATTATTATTATTATTATTATTATTATTATTCCAGATTGTACTTACAATGCCCAACTGGAAACCGGATAGCCAGATATCACTCACTAACTACCTGATATATATATATAGGACATAGTTTACCATCTCTTATTATGGGTGCCAATGCAGGCAGTACCAGATTTATGGTTCCATCAAACAGGGTGCCAAGCTGAGAGGGCACAAGCTAATAATAATAGTAATAGTAATAAAAACAAAAACAACTGTACCAAAAATAATTATTGTGTGTGGAGGGGAGAAATATTGGGGGGAGGAACCCAAATTTTGTCCTCGCCCAGGGTGTCATATTACCAAAGTCCGCCACTGATGGAGGTCTCCACCCCCACCCCGACGCAACAGAACCTTTAGGGATGCAATTTTTTTTAAAAAAAGACTGAAGCAGGTGAGGGATGCTTAAACTCTCTACCTGTCCATCCCCTGTGTTTCTGCTGCTGCTCAGTACCCCTGCAGGTGCTATTCACACTTTTTAAAAGTGTACAATTAATTGCAACACCAACTTTGGCCCCACAGTCTCATGCCCATCCTAGCTTCGCCATCCTGTATCACCCCGCTGACCATGCTAAAAAGTGAAGTCCCACCTGCCTGCATATCCTTGGGATGTTCTAAGATAAGTTTGCTGTCGCTCTTCCTTTTTGCTGACTTTTATTGTTGTTGTTATAATTAGTTTCCAGTGCTTTGCAATTGTTCTTCTACCTTCCGCTCCTCCACATGCAGCTGCTGGGTGACCTTGGGCCAGTCACACTTCTCTGAAGTCTCTCAGCCCCACTCACCTGACAGAGTGTTTGTTGTGGGGGAGGAAGGGAAAGGAGAATGTTAGCCGCTTTGAGACTCCTTAAAAGGGAGTGAAAGGCGGGATATCAAATCCAAACTCTTCTTCTTCTTCTTCTTCTTCTTCTTCTCACCAAGTATTTGGACAGACAGCTGAGTCGTAATTTTTTTAGAGTGGAATAAATGCTGATTCATCAAGAACTTCCTAAACTTGCTATTCATACCTCCACTGCCAAAGAAAGTATGTTTCTGAATTCAAGTTGCTGGAAACCACAGGAAGGGAGAGTGATTTTGTGCTCATGTCTTGTTTGTGGGCTTCCTGGACAGCTTAGTTGGTCCCAGCGGGTGCTGATAATGCCAAGGTTGTGGGTTCGATCCCTGAATGGTACAGCTGCATATTCCTGCATTGCAAGGGGGCTGGACTAGATGATCCTCAGGAATTCATTTCAACTTTATAGTTCTACGATTCCCACAGGCATCTGGTCAGCCACTGTGGGAACAGGATGCTGGACTAGTTGAGCCACTGGCCTGATCTAGCAAGCTATTCTTATGTTCTTATTATGGGAACAATCCAGAGTGAGCTGAGGCTCAGGTGCACCCCACTCCCCTCTCCCCCTCCTGTGTTCAAAAGCTTCCACTTTCCTTTTAAACTAACCACAATCAAGCATTATGTTTGAACCCAGATAAACTGTGGTTAGCTGAGTAAATCAGCTTCTAGGCTTCAGATGCAACAGCAAACCATGGCTAATTGAAATCAGATCGAAAACCTTCTGATTTTCTCAAAGTTTCACCAGAGCGAAGAAAATTATTATATACCATTATTTGTTGTTGTGTCCAAACCAGGCCAGTCTGTGAGCTTGACCCTCACTCTCACATACCAGGCCTTAACTGAAAGCAAGTCTTATGGATTTCAGTGAGGCTTACTTCCAAGTAAATAAAGAGTTGCTTACATGGAATGAACATTGAGCTGTACGGATCTGAGGGATTTATTTTCACAACAGCTATGATCTTCCAAGGGAGAAAGTGGGAAATCCCACTTTTTCTCTGGAAAAATCTAGAATTTGGAGCTTGGTGAAAAATCTAAAGCAGGTAAAATGATATTTCATAAACTATGCATATTATTGTCATGCTACAAGAAACATTCTGCAAATTAACACGCTTACATGGAAGAGCTGCAGATATGTCAGTCTAATGCAAATAATTAGAGGCACGATGATAAACCAGAAACAAAATGAAAATAGGAGCCACATTTGGTAGATGGGAACTTGCATACATGATAAGTTAAAGGAGGCAGCCCCACTGGTGAATATCAAGGAGAATCCAGAACTGTAAGTCAGATTCCAAACTAGTCAGATTCTACTAACAGGAAAACATGCTGGCTTTTAAATAGAAAGTTTCTGAATGCACAGGAAAATTTGAATGAAATTAGGACGACCCAGATATAAAATCCAACTCTTAATACACTTGGGAAGCACCGAGAGAATAGTAGAATGGGAGAGGGAAAATCCCAGCTGTTTTCCTGTATTACTTGTACAACTGTGTTTTGAAATAAATGACAATATATGCCTGTTTCATGATATAAACTTGAAAGCTCCCTTGTATACACAGACAACTCTCAAAAGCAAACAAGTATATTATCCTTCTGACATTCTGTGGCCGCACTGAGGCTTCAATCCAATGTCAATTTTCCTGGGAATAAGCAGCACTGAACTGAATGGGGCTTACTTCCGAGTAGACACCTACAGGAGGCACCGTGAGTCTCCAGCCCCCTCCAAAAAACAACCGACACCACAATCCTAAACAAGCTGGAGCAAGTCTTAGGTGGAAGCAAGTGTTACTTCCAATAAATGTATTGAGGAAGAGGACATAAGCTCTACCAAAGCGCTGAAATATTGGGTTCAGGAACAAAAACGACTGGAGGGAGAAAAGATGTATTACAGATTTATGTATCAGATGCCCAGATGTTACTGAGGGAACAGCATCATCTATACCTGTTATCACTGTACAGGCATTAGTTTTCAAAAACCAAAATAATAATAATAATAATTGGACCAATGAGAAATAAAGTCTAGTTTTCCAGGAACATTGAATGACCTTCCCAATTCGGGGTGCAATTAAACTTAACCTCCACCAAGATCCTATGCCACACAAGAGGAAAAATACAGAGCAGATGAGATCCAGGTGAACACAGCAATTCGCATACACATCTTTGGATACATTTGCTTTCCTAAATTGCAAGAGGCATGTTTAAAAAAACAAACGTGAGAAGTTGTGGGCTGCTTTGCCAAACCTTCCCCCCCCTCCTCCCCTCCCTGCCCTCCCCCCCCCCAGCCTGCCAGCCCACCGCTCCTTACCTGATAATGTCATCGTTGTGCCCCAGGAAAAATTTCTGGCTATGCTCTCTGGTGTTATAAACCACCCCGACTCCAGCCACGAAGTAAACCACTTCCTTGCCTGCCGTGTAGTACAGGTTGTTGCGGCACTGGTGACCCCTATACCCATATACCCACTCCAGACGCAGCTGGCATCTAGGAGCTGTCCGATCCGCCATGATAAGAGAAGACCCCCCCCCTCCCTAGAAACACACAGGGAAAAAAGCTGGTGGTGCTGCCCTCCACCCCTGCTGTTCCTTGCCAGTTCCCGGTTCCCTTCCTTTTACGAACGCTTCCAATTCCTGTTTGGCTGCCAAGTCTGGGGGCTGCACTTTGCAATGCTGATGGTTTTCAGGGGGAAATGCATCCGGGCAAAGTCCTGCTCTGCTGCTGCTGCTGCTGCTTCAGCCACCGCCGCCGCCGCTGCTGCTTTTGCTAGTGCCGAGCTGCCACCATAATCTTCTACTGCCAAAGATGAGCAGCTGCTGCTTTCTCCCTGTTTTGCAACCCAGGCAACTTGGGAGGAGGGGGGCACCTACACAGATGCAAATCAACGCTGTATGGAACTATTGCATGCCGATTCCACCCAAAGGAGCCTGTTCCGGGTGTCACAATCGCCCAGGCGCAGGACACCGGTGGTGCTATGCTTCTTCTGCCCGACGCATCTTCTTGCAAGGGGAAAGTCACTGCATTTTTTAAATACAGTTTTTTAACGGTGTGGGAAAAAGGTGCATCTGGCACAGGAATCCGCCCGTTCTTTTCAAATGCAAGCAGTGAGCTTTAATTCACTGTGTGATGGCTCTGAACGTGTGACAAAGTGGTTTTCTCTGGCTTGTCATCTTAATGCATTTGCAACTTAGTGCAAAGACAGGAAATTTCTGGGGGAGGGGGGAGGAAGGAAAGAAACCTTAATAAAAGCAAGCCATCCATACAAGTTGATCAATTTAATCACTCTACAGTATAATTTTTTTAAAAAAATGTGTCAGCACCACCTGTCCACCCCACCCCACCTCCAGAACTAAAGGGAAGCATGTAGATAGTGATGAAACCATTTTTTGCATATAGAAAAGCAATGAAATGGTCCTCATTTATCAAATAAAGCACATTAGAATTCCCTAGGGTACATTTTGTAAATCAAAATAAGGCATCCCCCCCCTTCTCACTCTTTCTCATAACAAGAATATTTCCAGTGTGCAGGGGGGGGGGGAAACATGTATGCCAGTCTTGTGGTTTCTCATGATAACAAACTTGTCTCTACTACTAAATGTGAGGGGGGTGTTTCCAGAACATGCACACATGGCACACACAACCACTGCCCAATGGAGGTGAATGAATGAGACACTAGGAAGCAGTGACAAACATTATGGAAATCAGGAGGGGAAGGGAGGAGGGGGAAGTGTTCCCACTAGCTAGTTACATAAATGATACCACACAGCCAGAGCACAACTGCTCAAAGCAGTTTCCCCCCAATTTGTGCAGGGATCAGGAGGCACGGGTACCTTGAAGTCTGAGATACCATGAGGATGGAGGCAGAGAGTTGCCATCAGCTGCTAAGAATCTGCAGCTTCACTCAGCTATGTGGTTAACTTAGAAGGGGTTATCCCACCCTTTCAGAAGACATCTGAAGGCAGCCCTGTTTAGGGAAGCTTTTTATGTTTAATAGGTTATTGTATTTTAGTGTTCTCTTGGAAGCCGCCCAGAGTGGCTGGTGAATTTATACCCATCTGGCTGGGTATAAATAAATTATTATTATTATTATTATTATTATTAGCAGAGCAGCAACAGGAACTGAACGAGTTATCTTGCCCATCTCAAGTTTTTCCTTGCTGCCATCTCCTTCGCCTCCTGTGTCTTTGGGATTCCACTGCAAAAAGGACCATGGTCCCTATTCAGCTCAGCTCAACTTCTTAACACTGATTGGGACCTTGAAGGTGACATCCAAACTTAGTCAGATATTCAGGTATACTCTAAATATGACCAACACTAGGTATCACCCTAACAGGTCGTTATTTTCACCATGTCCTCTGAGAAGGACTTAGTTGGATATCACCCTCATTTAATGATCCAAAGACTCCAGCCTTGCAGCCAGCCACTATCAGACCCAGGGCGAGAAACTATTTCTTCCATGCAAGATCCCTCTGCTCACACTTCCCTATCAAGGTGGAGCAACCGGTAATTTCATTAATTGCAAGGTTGCCATGCAGGTGGTTTGAGACCTTTCCTGCGAAAAGAAGCTAGTAAACAAGGAAAGCAAGGGAATTAGAGAGAGAAAAGGTCCACAACTTTCCTGTTTTTGAGAACCATTTCTTCTACAGGTAGTTTAGAACAAGTTGATGAAACCTACGGCACAACTGAGGCCACAGAGATAAGCCCCATTAAAGGCATGGTAGCTATAGGTTAAATAAAAGCTGCGTGTAGCTGAGGGGCTTGATTTTAAGCAGTAAGAGCAAAATATTACAAAGACTACTTTCCCTGTGTGAGAGAGAGCTTACAAACCACACGGAATGAAGTGGCAGCTGTGCAAAAACAAACACAATTTGTATGTGCTCAGATTTCCCCCTGCTGCAATTATATCAGAATCTACAGAGCAGTCACCTTGACAATCAAAATGTATTCTGGACCTACCGTATCTTACTCTGTAAAAGCACCCCATACGCCGAGGGTGACACATCAGGCAGGGCTTACAATTTGACTGCTTCACAAATTCTACTTGCTTCCCTTCCTTCCACACTTATTTTCAGGATTTTTATTATTATTTTAAGTTTCATTGACAAAATAGAGAATTACAACTACAGAACTCTGGCCAAGTCTTCCACATGGGGTGGAACTGTGCAACAAGGGCAATCTGTGAACGATGCAAGTTACTTCTCAGCAAGCATGACCAAAGGATCGAAATCATCCAAAACAGATGCAAGATCTACCTCTGGTTACTCAACAGTGTGCTCTAGCCATGCTCAATAGAACTATTCCTTTCTCCTCTGCATTTTCTACTGATTTTTACTCTACGAAAGCATCAACTACGTAGCAATGCTTAGTATTTTACTGTTTCACAAGTTCTACTGGTTAAGCAACGGTATTTAAAATAGACCCAGAAACAAAATTTCTATCCTCCCTCAGGATCTCAGGGTAGTATGTGCAGTTAACCTTTTTCTCTTTCCTCTCACCGGTAGGCTGTCATTGCCTGTAACTGAGCAAAGAGGTAAATGGCAGCTTCATGGGGTTAGTTAAGCCCCAATTTATTTCATTGGGCCCACCCTAAGCAAGACCAAGTCGGCACCTAACCCATAACCAAGCAAACAAAATATCCAGAACACCTAATCAGCCAGTGTCCTTGGAAGACCCCACTTCCCAGTATTAAGAAACAGACCTTGGGTGGGAGAAGGACTTCTATTCCCTTCAAGGCGCAATTCTATAAACTGCGACCATGTCCCCTCTCCCCCCACAAAAAAGGTTTCAATCCTGCATGCTCTTATCTGGAAAAATGCCCCACTGAACTCAGTAAGGGCTTAGTGCTCAATTGGTAGAGCATCTCAGGGTCGTGGGTTCGAGCCCCGAGTTGGGCAAAAAAATTCCTACATCGCAGGGGGTTGGGGGTTGGACTAGATGACCCTCGTGGTCCCTTCCAGCTCTACAATGCTATGATTTGAAGCAGAGGGCAGTGCCTCAATTTAAGGCTGCCTTTCCTGGAAAGGTGCTGCAAGCCATGCCTCCTTCCTGCTTCCTCTCTGCCAAACGCCATGCCCTTCAACAGCGCGACGGTAATTATTAGTATTATTAATAACGGCCATTTTTCTAGGGGGGTAAGAGGGCAAAGCAAAACACTTTGGGCCAAGTCTCCTCATAACATAGCTGTCAACTATTCCCTTTTCTTGCGAGGAACCCTATTCGGAATAAGGGAATTTCCCTTTTTTTAAAAAGGGAAACGTTGACAGCTATGCCTCATAAATATATATACAGAGAGAGGGGAGCGTCTGCACATTTTGCCTCCTCTCGCAGGTCCTACAAACGCTAGAAACTTCGTTTAAGGAAAACTGAGAATCCAGGATTCTTAGAATAATGTACGCGATAAGATGGGATGAATATACCAATTGCAGGGAGGGAGGGAAGTCAAGGCTCGGCAGAGTCAAAGGGAACATATGGTAATACGAAGGATTGTTAGAAAAAGAATATCTAAAGAAAATAATAAAAATTTACTTGGAAAAAAAGAAGAGAATCCAGGATTCTTAACACTAAAAATAATAGTTTCGGCCGGGCTACCCACACGACTCCCCCTCCCCCCCCGTCACAAGACAGTGATTTTGACTGTCACCTGTCAAGAGCAGAAGGGACGCCTATGAGACTGGAGCCCAGGAGAAGAGGAGGAGAGCAGAAGACCGCACGACAAGGCGAATGGACCTTCGTCGCCCTCCTCCTCCTCCTCTTCCTCGGCCGCCTCAGCTCCCCCCCCCCCCCACCGCGCGTCACGCCGCCTCGTCCCCGCCCTGCCCTCCGCTCGTCTCCTAGGCAGCCCCGGCCAGAAACCGCCTCATCATTCGGCGGGAAAGGGAGGGGAAAGCGCAGCTGCGTCACCATCGCCTCACCAGCAGCAGCAGCAGCAGCATCTGGCGCATCCCCTTGGAAACCCCGCGGATTCCCACGCGCCCGCCCGCCCGCCGAGCCAAGCCGCCTGTGGCCAAGAGGCTCACGGGAAGCGCAGTTCCAAGCGCCGTCGGCCGCCGCGGGGAGAGCGCGCGGGGGGACTCCATGTCCCAGGGTGCCGAGCGCAAGCGGCCGCGCCTCGCCTCGCCCGGCTGAGCTGCTCCGCTCGTTCCCCGTCTGTGCGCGAGATGCCTCTGGGCGGTTTCCTAACGGGGCTTGTTTGGAGAGGGGATCGCGCGCAATGAATAAAAGGGAAACCGCGCAATAAGATTCAGTTCTGGACTCGGAGCGCCGCCCACCACAATGGGTTTTGCTGTTGTCGTTTAGTCGTGTTTGACTCTTCGTGACCCCCTGGACCAGAGCATGCCAGGCCACTCCTGTCTTCCACTGCCTCCCACAGTTTGATCAAACTCATGCTGGTAGCTTCGAGAACACTGTCCAACCATCTCGTCCTCTGCCATCCCCTTCTCCTTGTGCCCTCCATCTTTCCCAACATCAGGGTCTTTTCCAGGGAGTCTTCTCTTCTCATGAGGTGGCCAAAGTATTGGAGCGTCAGCGTCAGGATCTGTCCTTCCAGTGAGCACTCAGGGCTGATTTCCTTAAGAATGGAGAGGTCTGATCTTCTTGCAGTCCATGGGACTCTCAAGAGTCTTCTCCAGCACCATAATTCAAGAGCATCAATTCTTCAGCGATCAGCCTTCTTTATGGTCCAGCTCTCACTTCCATACATCACTACTGGGAAAACCATAGCTTTAACACAATGGGTTTTACTTCTGAGTAAACATGCACAGGAGTTGCACGCTCCTTGCGCCGCTTCAGTTTCTTGTCCGTGTGTGGCATATTTTTAGGCTCGGAAAGCTTTCCGATTTAGCCTGATCGCCTGTGAAGCTTTACTCATAATTCAGCTTTACCCTAAATTTAGTGGGGCTTGGGCTGCAATTCTACACCCGCTTTCATGGAAGTGAGATCCTCTCCAATGAGCATTTATTCTGATTTATTTACGGGAACCGCGAACAAAGGTCATTATTTGGCAGGGGGGTGGGTGGGAGTGAGCCTGTTGCAGCAAACCCACTTTAATTATGCAACCTGCATTTGCAGGATGCAATTTCTTTCTGTTGGTTCAGATGTACGTTTTATGGTAAGCTCCTTGCGCATTTTATAGCTGGTACAAAGCTTTCAACGAATTTGTAATTTTTAAAGCTCTGGTTCAGGTTAGCAACAAGATTTCCAACACATTACTTGCATATATGGGGCCTTTTTTTGTCCGCAAACCAGTGAGGAGGAGGTCAGAGCTCAGCTTCATTGCATACCATAAGGCAGTGTTTCTCAAACTTGGGTCCTCTGCTGCTGTTGGACTACAATTCCCATCATCCCCAGCTAGCAGGATCAATAGTCAGGGATGATGTGAGTTGGAGTCCAACAACAGCTGCGAGTGCAATTTTGAGAAACCTTTGCCGACCTGCCACCTTCCAGGTGTTCTGGACTACCACTCCCATCAGCTCTACACCCCAGCGCTACAAATCTGATTAAAGGTCAAGGGACCCCTGACCATTAGGTCCAGTCATGACCGACTCTGGGGTTGCGGCACTCATCTCGCTTTATTGGCCGAGGGAGCTGGCGTACAGCTTCTGGGTCATGTGGCCAGCATGACTAAGCTGCTTCTGGCGAACCAGAACAGCACATGGAAACGCCGTTTACCTTCCCTCCGGAGTGGTACCTATTTATCTACTTGCACTTTGACGTGCTTTCGAACTGCTAGGTTGGCAGGAGCAGGGACTGAGCAACGGGAGCTCACCCCGTCGCGGGGATTTCGAATGCATCTGATTACGACTCTGCTAAATGTGGCTGATGGGAGTTGTAGTCTAAAACACCTGATGGGCAGCAGGCAAAGGCTGCCGTGTGCCCTGGAGATGGCTGGGGTGTGAACTACCTCCCCATTGAGCTCACAGCCTCACCTTCCCAAGGTAGTCTTGGGGTGCACCTGATACTTTCCCCATGGGGGACAGTGGCAATTTTTTTGGAAAAAGACCCCCCCTCCCTTCTAATGGCACTTGGCACTGATCTACTCCTGAAACTAAACAGGTCTGCCCTTGTTGGCTGTTGAATTTCCTAGGAGTCACAGGGTGCCTGTATGTCAGTTATTATAATAATATAATATAATATAATATAATATAATATAATATAATATAATATAATATAATAATATAATCCAAAACATCTGGAGAGCACCAGGTTGGGAAGGCTGGCATTTGTTTTCTCCAACTTCCTTCCATCTTATTTTTCCCTCTGGCAACTGCTGCAGCCAGTGTGGTGTAGTGCTTAAGAGCAGTAGACTCGTAATCTGGGGAACCGGGTTTGTGTCTCCACCGGGTAGTGATAAAGAGGGATATCAAATCCAAACTCCTCTTCTTCTTCTTCTTCTCCTCCTCCTCCTCCTCCTCCTCCTCCTCCTCCAATGCTCTTCCTCCCCCCTTATTTTTCTTGATACAGAGGCATGATTTGTTTCCCTGGAGCCCAGGTTACAGTCCTCACTTCATAATCGCACTGGTTTCCTGTTTGTGCACCAAGCAGTTCTAATGAAAAACTTCTCCACAACCAAACCTGCAAAGAAACCCAGAGGTTTTTGTATTAGTTTATAGATTAGATGATTCACCAATGCACATTTGGTAAGGAACATAACCTTGTTAAAATTAAGCATTTCTCTTGCTCCTGTGCCCAGTGGTTTAAAAAAAAACAAGGCACAATGCACTTCCAAGTCATGCTACATAGAAATTCCAAACAATGCTGATTTAAAAGTCAATCTTATTATACATTGGGGGTGAGCATGGGCACCAGGGTAAATGGATTTACTTCCAAGAAATCTGCATAGAAGTGCAGCTTATATTATTCGGACAGGTGCAGTGTGAAATGTTTTGCTGAAATGATCTGATAACTCTATTTGTTCAGGGTAATATTCCTCTGAACCGCATACACATTAGTGAAATTCTGTGTAGAGCAGTGTTTTGATTTCCTAGGACACTAAGCGAGGGGAGCGTCAGAACCCCATCATACTGTTTTGGGTTACATTTCACATTAAAACCCTTCTGCGTTATGTAGCTAAGCTGTTGAATTTCAACAGAGCAGGAGGATGTCGAACTAATTGCTCTAGGAACTATTTCCCCACCAACACCACCGATGCAGCTCTCATGGCAGTTAAGATCTGTTGGGACACTCCTGTCCTTGGTTGCTATGGCTGAGCTTTCTATAAACAGCAACAGAGCTTTCAGAGCATAAATGCTTTGTTCATTAGGGCTTCCTCTCCTCTGGTAATGTGCCAAAGTAGCACACACAGAGAGAGATGCAGGATACAAAAGGTGATTCTATTTATTTTATTTTTAACCTGGGCCAACGGCTGTTGGTTACGGAATGAAGAAAAGTGGTATTATTACTCTTTGATGTATGTTGAAGTGAATCTTTGAGGCTTGGGGAAGCTGACAAACTTCCCACTAGAAATGGCTTAGCTAAAGGTGCCAGGGAGCAAGGCATTCTTCACCCTCCATTCTGGCAAGTAAATAGTATTAAGTCAGTTCAGGAACACATATGATTGGAGCAAAAGCACCTAGGAAGAGCATAGAGTAAGACCAGTGAAGGGTGTAGCCTAGGAGGGGGCCTGGCCTGGCAATTGCAATATGCAAATGTATAAATAATTATTATAATTTAAGTGGAAAAATCTCACAACAGTAGAAAAGACCGTGACCAGTGTGTCCTTGCTCTGTCTGCAGTCTGGATGCTAACTGTTGATGGGCAACATCTGAACATGATGCATGGTGTATGTGAAGACTATTATAAATGTTCAATCTCTGCACATGAGTATCAGCTTGTTAGATGGAACCACCCCACTCCCCTCCTCAATGCTAGTGGTTTTCAAGACACACACCCCCCTGAGCCAATTTCAGCCAATGAGAGAAGCACTTGCACAGGGCTTTTGCTGATGGGGTTAATTAGGTGAATCCCACCCATGTTATTTTGCAGGGTGGGAAAATGCAAATCTGCTAATATTTGTATTGCCCTCCAGTTACTTAGCACCATGTTTAAGGTGCAATGTTGTTGTTTAGTCGTGTCCGACTCTGACTCTTCGTGACTCCATGGACCAGAGCACGCCAGGCACTCCTGTCTGCCCATTCATGGATCATTGCCTAGCCGTGGCGAAGGGGCTTGAATAACTCAGGG